CACTAGCTAGTGTGAGGACCTTCCTATTCAGAGCTATGTCTGCACCCCTGACTTCCAGTACACACCTACCATTTCAGCTCTGACCTGTTCCACATCAGGGATCCACCAAGAACTGGGAAATCAGTCTCTGAGTCCTTCTCTTTTCACCTCGTTCCAAGCACCTCATTTATACAGTCCACAGATTCCATGATCATTTTGTTTAACCCAATTTTTTTCAGCTCATATCTTGCCGCTGGCTGCTCTGCCAACCAACCTATGTTTTTCTTGTCCTTGCAAAAGTTGTCTGGTTCCAGCCAACAGAAATCCCCTGCCCAGACTCATGTAAGCAGCCTGGACACAAAAGGGTAAAGACATGGGAAAGGAGGAGAACTGGTGGGGAGGAGAGGGATTCAGAGAGAGGGTGGTGTGAGAGAGGTGATGAGGGACAAATAGATGGAAACACGCAGTATACATGTGAGAAACTGTCAATAAACAAGTAAAAATAAGTTAAGAGCACTTGCTGCTCTTCCAGAGGACCCAAATTCAGTTGCCAGCACCCATATCAGGTGGATCACAATGGCCTATAACATCCACTCTAGTGGATCCTACATGTGGGCTCTTGTATTCATGTGTACACATACACAGAGGCACATAATAAAGAATAAAATAAACATTTTAAATAAATAAACATTTTCAAATGTTTCAAACTCATTGTCCTGTAGGATCATGAGTCACAAAGCAATTGTGACAAATGCAGACACATGGGAATCAACAATTCTCACTAGAGTGTTTTTTCAAAATTGCAACAATAAACACTAGAACAACGAAGCCCTAGTGACCAGGTCACAGTGGTCAGCAATAGTAAGAAGTCACCCATGTAGTCAGTGGGAAACACTGAAGACAATGACAACATCTGCAAAGAGTGTGAGGAGCAAGATCATCTTGATGAAGAAAAGGGGGAAATAAGAGTGTAAGCCCCATTTAGTGAAGAAAATTATGTACATGTTAGAAGGAAAACTAGAAGGGAACAGGCCTTCTTTATGCTGCTCTTCATTCCTTGGTTTTCTAGGATGAACTCATTTCACGTGTGGAGACAAAGCTCTCAGCAAAGATCAGGAAGACGTTTTGCTCCAGTGGGCCCCAGACTCTTCTTTCTCCACCATGTTAGGAAGTTGCTTTCTCCCCATCGCCCCTTCAAAGAGACAACAATGCCACATCACTGAGCAATCAGCCAGTAAGGTTCATCCAAGAGCAACAAGCTCCCAAAGAAAATTAGTGAGCCTCCAGAAACTGGACTGGAAAACCCCAGCGTAATGATACAATGCATGTACCTCGAGAATATGTCCCATATACATTATACTTTCTGGTGTGAGCACTTTCTTTTCCGTTTCATTTTAAATGTTTCAAGTCATTCAAATTTCACTGCTACACTTTCGAGCAATCAACAAGCTATTAATTCATCTTCCCTGAGTAGAATAGAACAATGCCAACAAACTTTGAAGGTGTCCATCTAACTTTCTTGTGAGGACCTGCTAGCTGGAGAAAATGTCTTCACCCTAATTAAAATGTCTGTACTTCCACTTAGGCCTATAAGAGATGTCTTATCTAACTCATGCTAGGTGTTCCCATTTGTGAATGGGTACCTCACCACCTAGCTAACAGACAGTTGCAGGAACATGGGTGGGGGAGAAGGCTCAACAGTTAAGAGCACTTGCTGCTCTGGCAGAAGACCCAAGTTCAGTTTCCAGCAATCACATTAGGCAGTTCACAACCACCTGTAACCACAGCCCCAGAGCATCCTATGCCCTGTTCTGGCCTCTACTTGTACACTCATGGGTAGCCATGCAGACACATACACACACACACACACACACACACACACACACACACACACACACACACACACACAGAGCCAAGTCTTTTTTTTTTAAGTTGTAGGGATTAAATGAGATAGTGCATGTAAGGAATTCATTGTGTGCATACAGAAATCACTAGTTAAATGTTTTTGATAAATCTGATAAACTGGACAGTTGTCTGGCAGAGGCACCAACCTCTTTGTTTCTTTGTTTCTATTTCCCTAGATGATACTAGTGGGTAGAGCTGATGGTACAGCTCATGACCTTAAAAAAATAAATTCCACTTGGTATCTAAACCTAAAGTTTGGTCACACCGTTAAATTCAACAGCCTCAGATCACAGGAGGAGTACCACTGAGCCTTTGCACTGTTAATAAAGCCAGAACTGGGACACCGGCTGTGGCAAAGGGGGAAAGAAGACAGAGTGAGGAGTCACATTTGAGATGGAATCAATAGGGTTTGATGAATAGCCCTTAGAGAGGCCAAAGGAGAGGAGAATGGAGTCCACAAGCACCTGACTTGGATGATTAAATACAACTCTTATTCACTACATGAAGTATCTACTGTGCACTTACTGTGGTACAGGTGCTGTTCTGGGTATAGAAGCAATCCTAGTCCATAAAAGACAAAAAAAAAAATAAAAAAATAAAAAAGATCAGCTCTGTAGAGTTTTCTAACTGGGGAGACTGACATAACAGACCAAGAAACAAATGAAGAAAATAGTTGACTGTGATAACTTAGATGAAAACAACAGACAAGTCAATGAGGTGGCGAATAATAAGACAGGGTCTATTTAGGATAGGATGGCCCCCTCTGAAAAGGAAACCCATGAGGTTCCTGAAGGAGATGGAGCCAAGAAGCAGGGAGGAGAGGAAACATTCCAAGAGGAGGAAGAGCAGGTGTGGAGATTGTGGGTGGGAAAGGCACTGCAGTTGATGAGGGTAAGAGAAAGCGTATGCAGCTGGACTCTAAAGAGGGAGAGACTAGCAGAGAGGCTAGAGGAGAAGGCAGGGCAGTTAGTCAAGCAAGGGCCTTGAAGAGCATGTCCTGATTTCATAGTACTTGTGGGAAATCTCCAAGGCTACAGCCTAAAATCTAGAGCTGATACTGGGATTGGAGAAAGTGACTGGTTGCCAGAGAATCTCAGAAATAATGGATTTCTCAGATACCCCAAATATAGGTTTCTAGATCCAGAACTGCCCAAGACCTGGAGATCAGTTTCTCAGTGCTCTCATCCACTCATTCAATAATGTTTCTTGTCTACCTCCCACATGACAGAACAAATCTAAGTGTTGGAGATGCATGTAAAACAGTTTCTCAGGAAGGGAAAGAACATACCGTAAGTGAGCATCGTGACCCTCACACACAAAAATAGCCATGCTAATAAAATATCACCCAACAGTAATTGGACCTACTCTTGATAAAACCTGTTTTGAGAAAGTAGCTTTGAACTGACAGATGAAGAATAAGGAGAGGCTGCCTGGGAATGAGCATTCTAGACAGTGGGCACCTCCATGGCAAAGGCCAAATGAGAGGCTGGGTGTGGTGGTACACATATAATCCCAGCACGTGGGGTGCTGAGGCAGGAGGATCACTGTGAGTGAAAGGTCATCCTAGGCTACAGAGTGAGATCCTGTCTCAAAACCAAAATATAACAAACACACAAAGCCTGGGCACTGTTCCTCAAATACAAAATGCCAAATGCCAGATACATGATTGTTCCCTCTCTCTCTCTCTCTCTCTCTCTCTCTCTCTCTCTCTCTCTGTGCCTCTCTGTGTGTCTCTCTGTGTATGTGTCTCTCTATGTCTCTCTCTTTGCCTCTATGTCTCTGTGTCCCACTGGATTGGTGTTCAGAGAAGCAAATAGGTAAGTACAGTTGAGTAAGTGTGACACCCCCCATGGGGTAAGCAAGAGCATCCTAGGCAATGACACTGTGTTCTCAGAGGGCCGTGATGATTAATACCTCTGAGTATGGTGATGTAAGTACTTTTCAAACCGTGTGTGTGTTAATGTTATTGCCATTTTATGGTCCTACCAAGCTCCGAATATCTGGATTTCAGATAGAGATGTCTACAGCAGTGAATCATGGGTCAGAGATACTGCATAATCATTTCTACTCTAAGAACCCAGAATCCTAAAAAATGCTAACATTTAAGTTTAATGTGCAACTCCATGCCTCCCTCTCAATGTCCAGGTAAGGCATGAACCATGACACACACCCTCTTTTTCAAATGTAGAAATTGGGTAAGGTGATGGGGACTTTCTTTCCTGTGACCAAGTCACATCTAGGCCAAAAGTCTCAATTCTGATTTCTCGGGAAAGGCCAAGATCTTAACACACCTGCTTCTTGGCCCAGGGCCCAAAGCGGATCTCTCTTTCTTTACCCCATTTGTCTGTCCAGGTTGTATACACCAGCCAAAACTACCAGTCTCCCATGTCAGAGGGAAACTGGAGAGAAGACCTCCTTGTTTCTACGTGTGAGGATAGAAGGTACCAAGTGCCTACTCCAATCTCCTGAGCCTCCTGTGGAATGAAAAAAATGTAATAGAAAGCCATGTGGGCTGGATAGGGGGGTCATACTAGCTCCAATGATTCAAACTCAGTGATATTTAAAAGGTAAGATGGCCCTTTGCAGCCTAACACCCCTCCCCTATGCCCCCCTCTCCCGTGGCCCTCTCCCCTGCCAGTTTAAAATACAAAAGGCCTTGCTTCCTCTTCCTGAGCCTTTGCAAACTTCTCAGTGCATCCACTCCACAGAAGGGTCTCTAGGTGTGTGGGAAGATAATGTTTCCCTCTGCTTCTCCCTCCCTCCAAAGGGCGAGAAAGAGCAGGGCTCGATCTCTGTCTCTCTGTCTCTGTCTCTCTGTCTCTGTCTCTCTCTCTCTCTCTCTCTCTCTCTCTCTCTCTCTCTCTCTTCTCCCTCCGCCCCTCATTTGCTTTCTCCCTCCCTCCCTCTTTATGGGGAGGCTCTTGGCCTAGGTCCCTGAGCCCAGCCGGCTGCAGGCAAAGGACCGACCTACTCAGGAGGAGTGAAGTCACATCTCCCTTGAGGCTGGAGCTATAAGCTTTTCAGAGCCTCTGCTCACAATGAGCCGACAGCCCCAACCCCAGACTGCCCGGACAGTGCGCTCCTCGTCCCTCCCGGTGTCGCCTCTGACTTCACCCATGTCCCAGTATGCGTCTCGCTCAGACTCCAAGGGAGCATTGGACAGCAGCAGCCCCGAAGCCAACACGGAAGATGACAAGACCGAGGAGGACTTGCCTGAGCCCAAGAACTATCTGTGGCTCACCATTGTTGCGTGTTTTTGCCCAGCGTACCCAGTCAACATCGTGGCTTTGGTCTTCTCCATCATGGTGAGTGGGGTTGGTACCAAAAGCAGCAAAGGAAAGATCCGGGCGGCGCTCTGTCTCATGGACTTTTTGTGCTGGGTTTTGGGATGCACACCTCCTCCTTCCTTTTCTTTGGCTCACAGGCTCGCTCTGCTCTCAGAGCTCTGCCCAAAACCATCATCGCCTGCACACCCCCACCCCCGCCTATCTCTAGCACCTGTTTCCCAGCACTCTGCAGGCTGTCACCCGGACATTTCCACAGGACTTTCTTGGTCGTACCCTGCGCTCCTCTCACAAACGAAAAGCCGGCTTGTTCTTTACCTCAATGTGCCCTAGCCCAGCCCGCCCCCACTATGCTGCACAAAGGACCTTGTCAGACTATTCCCACCACCACTCTGTCCTCTGCCCAGGCCCCCCAGCCAGTGCACTTAGGGACTCCTCTATGGAGCTGCACCCTGGGGCTCAGCTCTGCCACCCTCTTCAATGCTCCGAAGAACCAGATCCTCCCTTATTGACTACAGCAGCTGGTCCCCCAGTGGTGGCAGGGTGAAACTCACACAGACACTGTCCCGGGACAACCCTAGAGTTGTGTGCTCCCTCCCCCATAGGCCAACTTCTCCAACAGCTAACCAATGCAGCTCCCACCAAAGACAGGATTCATTCAGCTGGACTAAGTTTCCACAGCCTGCATCAAGTACAGCCACCGGTAAAACCTCTCCTGGGTACAGCGGAGATCCCATTTGCACGCACTCACTGCCCTTCCCCAACCTTGGCTGGCTGCACCAGCATGCAAGTGCGCAATCGCTGAAGTTTTGGGGCTTGGTTCAAATCCCAGTCACACCATTTGTTAGTCCTAAGGTGTCCAGAAAGCAGTGCAGATTTCTGAACCTCGGTTTCTTTGTAAAACGAGAATTATCGTAGCTATATCTCAGGGCTATTGTAAATATTAATGTGATAACTATGACTTACCTAGAATGGTGCCCGGCATCACAATAATATATTAATATTAACAGCAATAATAAAGTTTTCCATATTCAAATGTCACTTCGTGAGACTTGGCTAAAAGTTTAAAACAAAAGCCCTCCCCAAGCTGTAGAAGCCCCTTTCCTATTGCTCTCTGCCTAATATAGCATTTAAGACTTTAAGTTTGTATGGGGGGGCACATACAGCACATGAGTAGAGGTCAGAGAACAACTTTGGGGAGTTGCTTGAATTCTGGGGATGGAACTTGGGTCACCAGGCTTGTACAGCAGGTGCCTTTTCTGGCTGGGCCATCTCGATGGCCCTTATTTTATTTTTAATATGATTGTTACCTTCGTCCCCTGGCTACACAAACTGCAAGTTATATGAGAACAGGGATATTTGCCATGTTTATTAGTGGGTGCCGCAGAATCTGACACATGGATAATCTTAGGAAATATCACAAAATAAATGCATGGGTGAAGGAAGGTGTTGATGGATTCACATGTCCATTTTGCTCCTATTTCAAAATCCTGGAAGTTGAAGCTCTCCTCTCACACCCGTTTCCAACCAGCTGACTTCCCCACTTCCTTCCTCTCCCTGGGCTGACCCTGGGTTCATTTTGGGTTCTGTTCTTATTTTCAGAGAGGCTGGAGGAGTTGTGGGCTGCCAGACTCTCTCAGCAGCAGACTCTCAGGCTGATAACAGTGCCCATCCTAGAAGCAGTTAATTTACCCTTCCCAGTGCCACTTAGGAAAAAAACACCTACAGAGGCTTTCCCTCTCACTGGTCTGAAATCAGCTACCAGCTGGTGGTGACAGGCTGGGTGTTAATGATGCAGATAGGGTATCCTGGGAGGTGAGGTTTAGGATGGGAGCCTCTCTTAAGCCCCTCACTCCCCAAGTTTTTCTCCATAGCTTCACAGCATGATACCATTTGACCCCAGAGTACAGAAGGCTTTGGGAAAGTTCCATACATCTTTTTTTTAAAGCTTTAGTTGTCCATCTGAACCATGGGGATGGGATGTTGGTGTGTGTTGCTGTTGTTTGCTGCAGTTGGCGGGGGAGGGGGGAGTAATTTAGTTTTACTTTGTTGTGCACGTGATAGGGGAGGGGAAGTTGTCAAAGGACAACTTTGTGGAGTTGTTTCTTTCCTTCCACCTTTACGTGGGTTCTGTGGATTGAACTCAGGGCCTCAGGCTTGTGTGGCAGCTGTTTTATCCACTGAGCCATCTTGCTGGGTGTGGTTCTGTTGTTTTTGTTCGTTTCAGGCTTGAGGGTTGTTGGTAGCAATCCTGGTGCTGCTGTTTTGAGACAGAGTTTCACTTTATAGTCCAGGCTGGCTTAGAACTCATGGGCCTCCTGCCTCGATCTCTTTGAGTTGCTGGGTTGACAGGTCCATGCCATTGTACCTGGCTTGTGTGCATTGTTTAACATTGAGTAGTAGTCATAAGGATGAGACAAAATATACCATGCCAATCATGTGGAGCCCGCAGCACTGTGCTGGGTGTGTGCAACAATCATCACACATATGGGTATCTGGAGGTATCACATGTTACATTCGGAAACAAGCAGCCTATGAAACAATTGAAGTCAAAATTGTAAACAGCCCCTCCTATACACTTGCTATTGTACATGCTCTAAAATATTGGGAAGTAGTTTCTCATTCAAGTAGAGTAAACATGAGACTGATAAACTTCATGTCAATAATTCCAAAGGGCAAAGAGAAAAAGTTGTGTAGGGGCAAGGTAAGAGTCTGAGTGTGTTAGTTGTTGAAAGGAAAGTGGGGAATTTTATTTGTTCTAAGATCAGAGGTCCATATCTAGCAAAGACCTTCCGGCTGGCATGACATCGTGACAGTAGGGAAAGTGAGAAAGATCTGGACAAACTGGCTTTCTAGTAGACCCACTCTCACAATTTCTCATTAACACATCGGTCTATTGATCATATGATTGGATTCATTCATGAGGGTAGCACCCTGCTTACCTTCTTGATAGGTCATAATGGGGACTGATCTCCAACAGGAAAGTTGATGAGACACCAGACTCAAACCATTACAGCAATCGTCCAATCCTGTCATGGATGCGTAAGATTTAAGGTGTCTTTTGATGTCCTGTCCCGGCTGTTTTCCAATCTCACTCATCTATAAATTCATGATAAGTAAAGCAATATGTCTGGGGGTGTTGGCTTGGAGTTGCACATTCCCCATAAAGACATTTGGAAATGTTGGGAAGTATCTATAAGCACCACAGTGATTTGGGGAGTTTGACATTGATGAAAAGAGCCAAACTACAAATGTCCAGTAATGCTTCAGGTTTTCTCCCAATGCTGAACTGACATTTCCCAAATACCAACAGCACCCCAATTGTTGCTCTCTGTTCATGTGATAAAACATTCTGACCAAGGCCACATGGGACGGAAGGGCTCATTTCAGCTTATATTTCACAATCCTCTGCCAAAATCAACATGGTCAAGTCCATAACAGCTTGATCTCTGTTGTTGTGATAAAAACACCCTGATCAAAAACAACTTGGGGAAGAAAAAGGATCTATTTGGCTTTCACTTCCAGATCATAACTATCATTGAGTGGAGTAGGAGCAGAAACTCAAGTAAGCAACCTGAAGGCAGGAACCATGGGGAAATGCTCACTGACACATGCTCAGCTAGCTTTCTTAGACATCCCAAGTCCACCACCTAGGGATGATGACACCCACAATGAGCTGGGCCCTCATACATCAAATAACAATCAGACAACTCCCCACAGACATACCTGCAAGCCAAATTGATCTGGGTAATTTCCCAGTTAAGACTCCCTCAAATGACTCTGGGCTGTCAGGTTGACAGCCAATGATAACTAGGACACACTCTAATCAAAAAATGTTGTATAGTGGATGGTGATGTAAACGTAGATGTGTTGAAAATATTGAAAAGACTCCAAACAACCAGTTTCAAAAATGGTTAATTAAAAAAATGCAAGCAATCTCACTGGGCAATGGTGGCGCACGCCTTTAATCCCAGCACTTGGGAGGCAGAGGCAGGTGGATCGCTGTGATTTCAAGACCAGCCTGGTCTATAAAGCAAGTTCCAGGACATGCTCCAAAGCTGCACAGCGAAACCCTGTCTCAAAAAAAAAGGCAAGCAATCTCAAACAATCAACACCTATACTATTAAGCCAAGCCTGAGGAGCATTCTATGTAATTACATGTTGGAGTAGGTACATGGGAATAAAACTACTTTGAAAGATACAGAAGATTGTTCAAGCTGTGGGGATTGGTGTTCTTTCTAATACCCATTGTGGAACCAGAGAGTCTTAGGGTAAATGGTAGGATAGTAACAATGATATACTGGAATTCTGATGTGCTTAGCATCGCTTGTGGTAGAAGCATGGAAATTCTCAAGACACTGAAAGAGTACTTGTCAAAAGTATATTTAACCTGTATTCACTGTGGAGAGTGTTGTACTGTGTGACTTTTTCTAGGGTGACAAGAACATGTCTATTCTTCCCAGACAGGGCACCAATGATAGACGAAAGAGATAATTCCATCCAGGTCTACCTTAGTGAACCGGTGAGTGGGTTTGGGTTACTTACTGGAGCATGGATGACTCCAAGGCAGCTGCATCACTAAAAAACCCAAAGTCTCCCTCCTCCCTCCAGAACACAATGTTTCAATTGGAAAGAAAATGACTATACAACACATATATCCAAAGAATTTCTCTCTAGAATGAGTTACTGCTAAGTCGAACTGCATTTTCATGTGAATTTGAATGGAGCACCTTCCTGAGTGCAGGTACAGCCCTGAACCAGGGCACGAAGCATGGCAAGTAGAGTGCAGGCTGGTTTTCAGGTTTCATTCAACATCTTCCCTTCAGTCCCAGTTATTTCTATTTGTTACATCTGAAAGGATCCCCATAGTTTGTCAGCATAGCCCTCCACCCTGGAGAAAGAATGTTTGCCAATTCAACAAATATCTCTATGCAAGACCTTCTCCAGGCACCAGTTTTTTCTATACTAAACTTTCTCCAGACACCGGAACCTTCCTATATTTCTACTGTGTTAATAAGGCC